CTTTAAAGTAGCTTAAACCAGGGAACTCTGCAAACCCTTACATACCAGGAGGAACTAGGCTGACTCAGTGACTAAATAATGTCATCAGAGGGTGGGACTCTGTAACTCTCTCTGGTCTCGATCTACAACACCCGGGCCTGGTCGCGGTGTGTTTGTCCGGCCGGGGCCTCGACCAGGGCTACCTTCCACCCGGGCGGGGGCAACCCGTCCGCAGCCTACCAGGCCGGCACCCCTCCTCCTCCGCACCCGCCGCCGCCGCCTCCCCCCTGCGGCGGGCTGGCTTGTCACGGGGAGCCCGCGAAGTTTTACGGATACGATAACTTACAGAGACAGCCGATTTTTACGACCCAGCAAGAAGCCGAGCTGGTACAATATCCTGACTGTAAATCGTCCCGTGGTAATATTGGCGAGGACCCAGACCACTTAAATCAGAGCTCGTCTCCTTCTCAAATGTTTGCCTGGATGAGACCACAAGGTTGGGATGCATTATTTTTTTTTTTTTTTAAAGCTGGGAGAAATCTGCTTTCCTCTCACGTTCTAGTTTTAAAACCTCTCTCCCTCTCCCTCTCCTTTTCCTTCTTTTGTTGCTACAGTGGCTCTTATTCATAAAGTAATACTGACTTTTCCCCTTAAAGTAGAAACCACGAAACGATGATGGGGACAGAATAATTGTGAAGACCTCTCTCTCTTGCCTGCACATCATATATATATATTAGAGCTAAAGAGAGTTGTGTATATTTCATCCCTTAAACCCACTCCAGAAACCTCCAGCAACCTGCAGAGACACCATTACATTTTCAAAAAACGTTTATTTTCCTTTTTTTTTTTTTTTAATCAGCAGCTCCTGGTCGACGAAGAGGAAGACAAACCTATAGTCGTTTCCAAACCCTAGAGTTGGAAAAGGAATTCCTTTTTAATCCTTATCTGACCAGAAAGAGAAGAATCGAGGTTTCCCACGCCCTAGCCCTCACGGAAAGACAGGTAAAAATCTGGTTCCAGAACCGGAGAATGAAATGGAAAAAGGAGAACAACAAGGAAACATTGCAAGAGGTGAAGGATGGGAAAACTAAAAAGGAAGCCCAAGAGCTGGAGGAAGACAGAACTGAAGGCCCCACGAATTAACTTCTACCTTTAAAATTTTACCACAGACTGTTAAAGCTAATGATCAACATATGCTGGGGGACACCACCTATTTTCTTGGTTGGAAGGACTTTACCTGTATTTCAAGCTACCTTCATGTCACTGCTCTTGAGGTTTCTGGTTTTTGAGAGGGATTTGGGTGTTTTAAAAAGTTTCTTGTATCACATCGAAACAGCTCTTGAGCTGTCCTATTTAAGGGTAATTTGATACTAACTATAGCAAAATTTTTATAATGGTAGTTTTTAATGTCTGAGCTGGTGATTTGCCTCAACAACGTAAACTTCCTAATAACTAGCACTAAATAATTGAATATAAAATGCTTTATTAATCAAACAAGTGCACTTGAACATTTTAAATCTTTTCTTTATGGTGAGTAAGTTAAAAGAAATCTATTATAATTTTTTAAAAAAATTATGCCTGCAGAATATTTACTTTATTTTATTTGATTAAAATGTATTATTTATGTATTTTTCTTTCTGCTTTTATAATAGTGAGTTCAGGTGCCTTTTGTTTACTCCTAAGAGGATTCTTTATTTTGTAAACGTAGTATCTCTGGGACGAGTGTGGGCCAAATATTTGAAAAGCACATGTTAATTGAAGAGTGTAATGTGTAGTCCGGGCTCTGCAGCTTCCTAAACTTGGGGGAAATGTTGAGCCAGTGACAAAAGTTTCAGGGCAATGTCAATGTTGACATTTAATAATTTTTCTATAGTCTATACAAATATGGCAATTTAATCTAGAGTGAATGAATACTTGAAAAGCCAATTATAACATTTTCATTCATTAATTTTTCACTCTAGCAAATCACTTTGTGGAATGCCTCTTCTTCCAAAACTTGCTTTTGTTTTGAACTGCATTTGGTATCGACTGAAATTTAGGTCTCGGTGCTGTAGCCACCTCTGTGATTCGTATTTTGGTGTTTTTGTTTTTTTTTTGTGAGTAGGTGCCATATTTATTTGTATTCTCTTCTCTCTGCGTGCCCATTTTGAGCCAACTTACTATGTGCATCTCAGATGTCAGTTGGTACGTCCTCTGTTGTTCTCCAGGATGGCCTCACCTATTTGAAACAAACCCTGGGAGCAAATGCAGAAAAGTCCAAGTGTAAACAACCGCTCCAGAACATAGCTAGCTCCTTAATAAAGAAATGAATCTTTTTCTAGAGCTAGTGTCTTTGAGCGCCGCAAATAACGCGTTTCCTTTACTCACATGAAGGCAAAAGCTATTTGATTAAAAAAAAAAAGAGGTGGGGGTTACATGCTATAAAAATAAATAAATGCAGGCGGGGGCAGTCTCTTTCATTCCAGAGGGCTGACTAGGCTACTGTAGCTTCATCTTGCTCTAAGTAACCTTGCTAAGATAGTGTGAAAGCTTTGAACTTCACAAAGGATTCAAGTTGTAGGCCCAGTGGGGGACGACCCAGAGTCCAGGTTACACCACAGCTTATTCTGCTGAGCCCGAACTGATGCTGGGGTTTGGGCTCTGTTATTAACAAGATATCCATTTTCCATTTGAGGCCGCTTCTGCAGCTGCCATTTTATGAGAGAAGGGGGGGGGGGAAGAGGTGGGAGAGAAGAGAAGAAATTCAAGTAAACTAACATTTCTCCCCCCAAAAGGGAAAGCAACTTTGCTTTTCCTAGATGGCTTATTAAAGATGTACATTTAATTTCCAAAGTGGCATTTATTGCACAGGTAAGGAAATAGAATCCTATAGTTTTAGGCCTGGATCACCCCCTCAGGCATTGGTGGGCTATTTGCCTGCCACTTGAAGGACCAGGGAAATGTCACTGATTGGGCTAGAGGCGAAGCACCGCCTGACTTTCTATCTAGGGAAGAGACCGTGGCTGTGGCATTCGCTGACCTGAGCCAGGAAAGACAATTTTAAGTCATGGCTTGGGGCTTGGGGCTTAAGAAACATTTGCAGGAGAGGAGACAGCTGCAAACGTGCATGCTGGATTTGGAAACATTTTGCTCTGTGTGCTGCCTGAGACTGCTATTGGCTGACAAAGAGCAAGGATGCCAAGCGCCTGAAAGCCCATGTGTGCGGTGGGGGTGGTGGTAAGCTCGCCAGAGACTGGTACTGGCTAAACTCCAGCTGCCCTCCAGTTAAGGGACTCCTCTATTAGCAAAATTTGCTTTCTTCCACTCAAGAATACTCCCTAGATAGCACTTTTAGAGGCTGATTCGGGCAAGATTCAATTAGGTGGGGAACCTGGTGTGTGGATGGATGTAGAAATAAGGGGAGTAAAAACATCCTTATTTCCTCTGCATTCTGTGCTGCTCTGGAAGTGCTGTACCTTCTGGTCCCATCTTGCCCCTAACCACATGGTAAAATCGTAGCTCATGTACAGAAAAAGATTTGCAATTACTGGTGTATTTGAGAGTATTGTACATATACAGATTTGATAATTTTTGGTAAATATTTGGTGGATTTGTACATATACATAGATTACACATGTGCAGAAAGTGTTGGTAATAAATAAATGTCAGTATGTATGTTTCCTTTTGTAGCTAAGAAAACCATAGATTTGTCTCCAAATAAAGAGCTTGGGAATTACACATCACACACACTCACCACCTTCTTTTTTATAGTAGCTAGAAACCGCCCATCATGGTATTTTATGAGACTTGCAGTGACGAGTGCAGAAGATGCTCTTCTAATTGGTTAAAATCTGTTAACATCCGAGGATTGCGGCAACTGAACAAACAGTTTTGCTGCAGAAATTTGCATAAACCTTCAGAAAACACTTTGCAAACCCAGGCGACTGCTTCTCTTCACTGTACTGCTTAGGGAATCTGCTTAGAGAGGTCTGTAAACCGTTTAGAGAAAAATACAACACTTTAATGTTAACATTAAAGGAAAGAACCAAGCCTTCCTAGTGATTGAGGTTCTTTGTTTGTGAGGACCAGAAACAAACAAAAGAGGGTGTAGGTCTCAATGGCTCCTAGAGAAAAGTCAGTTCAGGGATTGCCATTTTGTGATGTTTCACAAAACCCAGGACAACCCTTATCTCTGCACTGGGGGAAAAAGTGCAAATATGGCTGCCTTTTCAGTGTAGAGTCTTTTCCCAGCCCTTCTTCCCCAAGGTGAAAAGGAGGGTCATAAAGCTCAGTTTTTATTTGACTAGAGGGGGAGAGGAAAATTGTCAATTGAGATTATTTATCAGAAATTTTTATGATTGAACAATCTGTTCGGTTCCACATGAATGGAATGGTCTAAAGCAGTGGTTCTCAACCTTCTGGCCCTTTAAATACAGTTCCTCATGTTGTGACCCAACCATAACATTATTTTCGTTGCTACTTCATAACTGTAATGTTGCTACTGTTATGAATCGTAATGTAAATATCTGATATGCAGGATGGTCTTAGGCGACGCCTGTGAAAGGGTCATTCGACCGCCAAAGGGGTCGCGACCCACAGGTTGAGAACCACTGGAAAGTGTTCTTGCTGGGGAGGGCCCAACAACTTGCCCCATTTTCTTGTATCATTAAAAGCATTGTTTTATTATTCTTCAGTGGAGAATGTGTTGCTATTTCACATCCAAGCTTGTCCTGTGCTTCTCCAGTGTGCCGAATCCTTGGGCATCTGGGGATGGTCAGGGGAAGAGAAGAGAACATTTGAAAGGAGTCTGGCTGCTGTTACAGTTCCACTGACTTTTTCTAGAAAGAATAGGACTTTTGCTGACAGATGGCAACATAAGACCTTTAATCAGAAACATCCAAGGTCATCAAAACTTTTTCAAGAAATGCAAATGGCCTGCTCCAGAGGGTGCTGTGCTCTCCTGCTTAGGAGCACATCCACTTAGGTACTCACTGTGTGTGGAGATGTTAATAGCAGAGAACTTACACCGTGATCCAATGCAAATATTTACAAGCACATTACTAGAAGTTCAAAGACAGTGTCCTTGAAAGGATGAGAGGAAGGAGGTACCTCTTTCAGGCAGGTCCCGAAGCCGGGCGGCCATGCCCATGCATTCATGATGAGGGGAATGCTAGAACTGGCCAAGGACATTCACTCTCACTCTCAGCCGAGGTTCACTGGAGCAGCTCCTATCAGAAGTGCAAAAGGAATGTGATCCCTGCCTTTGAATAAAAATGACTCCCCCCGCCCCCAGGCTGAAACTGGGAGTCGCTCTTTTCCTGAATAAATGAGGCCTCTCTCCTCCTTGATAGTATATTGAGCAGGCTTTTCAATGGACAAACATTGGGGGCAGGCGGGGAGGCAAAGGAAGAGGAAAGGAACTAGAATTAAATTCCATAGAAATTAGAACTGCACTTAGGGGAGACTTCGAGGAAGAGGTTTCTGGGGGGATCCAGAAAGATTGCTTCTCTAACCCAGAACTGACCAGGAGGATGTTTCTATTGAGATAAAGGTCAGGCATTGGGAGCTCAAACTATTATTTTGGAGTTGACAGGTATCTAAAAGCACTTCCCGTCTTTGAGCTGGTTGGTGACTTTCCTACCCCAGAAACCCAAGGAATAGGATAGACCCCAATTTATGTTGGAGGCGGGTGAGGGAGGAGAATGCGATTTCTTGGCCTTCAGGTTTTCTGCGCAAGATCACCGGCTCTGGCTTGCCAGGAGATGAGAGGGGCAAACCCGGAAAGTGCTGGCTGCCCTCGGAGTGGGCCTTTTGTGAGGGGAGGGGAAGAGAAGCTGAGTGCACCCCCCCCCCCTCCCAGGGTAAGAGGAGAGTTGGAGGGAGGTGACTGCCAGGAGCACCAAGCGCCTGGGCTGCACACCGCACTCCTTCCCCCTCTACCACAGCGCCAAATTGAGCAGATGTTTAGGGGCAAACCAAAACGAAAAAAAAAATTCCTAGAAAAGGTGAGAGAGTCAGGAACCATGGAGTCAAAAGAAGCAGAGAGAGCAGAGGAAATGGGCAGAGAGGAAGAAATACAGACGAGGAAGGGAGGAAGGGGGACAAGGAAGAGAGAAGGGAGGCCAGGAAGGACGGAATGAGGGAGAGGGGGTGCGAGAAGGTGGGGGAGGAAGAGAGCAAGTCGAGGGGAGGGAGAGAGAAAGTGAAGGGGAGGAAGAGAGAGGACGGAGAAAGAGAGAAAGGGAGGAAAAAAACATGGCGCTTGCGAGCTGTACGTGCAAAATCCGCAAGGAATTGCAGTAAATTCCTTTTTGTTTGAAGAAAATTTACAACTTGGTAATAGACCTTTTTATGACCTATTTGCGGTCGTCATTGGCTGCGGCTGGTCATGTGCAGGCGCCGCTCGCCTTCACGGCCCTTTTCCTGATTTCCCAGGCGAATTTCCCCCCCGCATTCTGCCTTCCTGAGCCTCACCCCCTCTTTCCGTAACCTTTGTCTCCGCAGAGGTGGGCTCCAGTCGCGGCTGCGGGGAGTGCGGGCTCCGCGGGCCTCGGCTCCCACCCGGTGCCCGACTTGGCCCCGCCGCCGCGGGTTCGGGCCGCCCAGCGCCTCCCGAAGCCGGGGGGGACCCCGGCGTGTTTCTGGGGGAGCCGGCGGGCGGAAGAGCCCGTAAGGAGCCCCAGGCCCGGAACGCCCGCCGCGGGCGCCGACAGCGCCCGCCTGGAGCCCCGGGCCGGCTCCGGGGGGCCGCCGCGCCGCCGCGCCGCCCGGGCTCCTTCGCAGGCCGGCAGGTCCATGACGCCCGGAGCGCGCGGAGCCGGGCCGCGCCTCATGGATTACAGCAGCCTCCCCGGCCGACCCCCGCCTCCAGCTCGCAGCCTCCGGGTAAGAGCCACCGCTCCCCGCGCCCGAGCACAGCCCCGAGAGGGAAGTTGGAGGCGCCCGTCGCCTCCGGGGGCAGCTTGGTGAGCCCGGTCCGACCCCCTACGCCGCCCCAGGACCTGGGGTTGGCGGTCTGCGCCCCCTGCTCCCCAGTCACTGGTCTCTGAGCCGGCCGGTGGGGTCCTGCTGAGCTCAGAAGTGGAGGGGAAGCCCCATTTCCTCTGCAGGGGTGGAGAGTGGCAGACCGGGTCCCACCGCCTGGACCCAGAGCTCCTCCACCCCCACCCTGGGGAGGGTGTGCAGCCGGTTCCCGAGGTCTCAGCTTTGCGGGGCCCTGGAGCACAGTCTGCAGGAGAGTGTTCTGCGGGTTGTCTGGGGTCAGAGGTACCTGGGAGGCAAACAGGTGTTTTTTGAGGTGTGGGGCTTGGGGTGGGGCGTGGGTTGCATTCTGTGTATCTAAGATGTGCTTGGTTTGCTGTTCATCTAGGTTTTTGGTAGGTGATGCTGACGAATTTCTGGGGTTTATGGTTTATTGGGCCTTGTGTATGAGATGGAATTTTAAATATTTTAAACCGTTTGTAGTTCTTAGTGAACTCTTGTAACAACTCAAGAAAGGTTCTTCCCACAGCTAATACTTTGAAAGGTGAATTTGGATTATTTTATGTCACAAAATGGATGCATCTGGGGGGAGGTTGTAGTATCAGGAAATCTGGTGCAGCGCTTGGGTAGAAAACCAATCAGACATTTCAGAAATGCGAAGCATGTGTATGTTCAAACATCGCGTGTGTTTCTTATTTGCCAGGGTAGAAAAGGGTACATATTTCGCTCTCTAGATGTACTGTCGTGTTGTGGTGTTTTGGGGTGGGGGGTGGGGGTTTCTACAAATCAATATTCTATAGCAACATTTCCCCTCTTCAAAATTATTGAACTGAAACATTATGAGCCAAAAGAAAAATCTTGGCAGAAAAAAAAAAGAATGTTATTTTCTCCCACCAATTTTGAATGGTACTTGCGAATGTAGTTCTCAAATCCTATTGCCTATTTACCCATGGCCACCTTGTGAAATACTAAAACCTTTAGACAATCTGCCGCATTGCGCATGGCGTGGACCTGCGCATGGCGGAGTGCGATCTTCAAAGCACTCAGAGGCAAAATCTGACTTAATGTTTCCCCAGATATTCCAGTGTAACCGTGTTGGCCCTAAAAGCATTTCTAAAAATAAATGCCATCTTTGTAGAAAGGTATTTTTAGTAATTAACAATGGAATCACACTAGTTTCAAAATGGAGGGCCACGATTTGTGGCCAGTTGACGTCTGCGGAATTGTCACGGATCAATAACTATGAACACTCACAAATAAGAACCTCCGAGTGATTTTAAAATATGGAATATCCGTATTTTGTAACTACTGTATTTCTCTACTATGGTACAATGGCTATGGAGAGTAACCTTTCATATTGGTAAAACGCATTACATATTGAAAATCAGGGCCCTGCTGGGGGACTCGTAGGCCCTCCCCTGGCAGCTCCGGAGCCTAAGGAGCCCCTACGTTGGCTTTGCAACGGCGACAGCGGTGCGGTTGGGGAGGAGCTGAGTCCCTGACGACCAGGTCCTGGTGTTCAGAGCTGCAGTCGCTTTTCTTTGGGTTCGGTGGCTGAGCGAGCCCAAGTGACTAGGAACCTGGGCGGGCTGCAGGTCCAATCATGCGGCAGAGGGTGATGTCATGGGCAGTTAGATATGGAGGACTGAAGGGCTCTTTGTAAGCCCAGGTGGTAGCATTAAGAACTTATTGGAACTACATGGCTGATTGCATCTAAGGGGACAAATAATCACAAATCACATTTAAACTCAGGCCACTTAGTCCAAGAGGAGACTAGTTAACGCTTTGGCCAGTGCCGGAAATCCCTCCATTGTCCCTGTTAACCCAATAAAAAAAATTAAACGAAAGAAAAAGCACTTGGACTCTCAGAGCTCACAAGCTGGGGGAGTGTAACTCCCAGGGTCCTTGGCCCGAACCTCTACCTCTATCCGTTTACACATGATGGAGCCCATGGCACGCCTGGGCCTTGGCCAGGCTGCGAGCTGGGCTTGCGCTCTCCTGGAGGCCCAGGAAAAGCAGCAAAGCTCGCTGTTCTGCTATTATAAATGCGTCCAAGCACCAGGGCTGAAAACCAACCGTGTTTTCCTGTCAGATGCTCTTCCAAATAAATATATTTCGCCAGAATTTTGTTTTCTGAGCTCGAGAAGCAGGGGAAATCGGAACAAAGACAGTATTTCACTCTGGGCTGGCAGGCAGCTGTTAGAGGTATTTACGGCCTTGCCGCAGTGCGGCCGGCCGCGGGGCAGGGCACTGGGGCACCGGAAGCTGGGGAGAAGCCACCAAGAACTCGGAATTCCGATTTAAGTCCAATTTAGGGCCACTTTTCCGGAATTGGTGTGAATAGATACCCTCTTTCTAGGAACTTTCTGGCCCCTTAGACTTGATCGTGGTGCACAAGGAAGAAGTGGTGCTCTCTGAACGGAGGGTGGTTCCCCCCCTGCCTTGGTGAACACTCAGGAGATACCCCTGCACTAGATGTGAAATTGCTGATCCTAATGACACAACCTTGAAAATGTCCATTGGCAACATGGCGATTGTGCTGGGTGGGCAGAACAGGACTTGCAAATCAGGAAGGACGGCTGGCACTTTTAATACAGGTTTTCCTGAAAAAGAAACGTATATCTGCTGCCTGATATAGGGAGTCTAAGCACCCCAGCAGTCAGGCGCTGAAGCAGAGCACGGTGCCGCACACCCCCGCACAGCGCCCGCACAGCCCCAAGGAGCCTGCCACGCACGCTCGACCAGCGCCTGGCGCATGTGCACTGAAATAGCCCAGCCCGGGAATCCAACCAGCAAAGCACAGATGGGGGGAAGGGGGAGTGGACTCAGAACAGGAAAATATAACCGGATCTCTCCACTCCTCCCTCCCTCAGGATTCGCCACTCATCTTTGCTTTACTCCAGCCTTCAATCTAAATATAGCTGAACATCTTGCCCTTGACTACGTTATTTTCAAACATCTCGACTCACCACCCACCCCAATTTAAACCTGTACTTAGGAACAGTCTGCAAATAAGAGCTAGTGGCCAAACGGAAACCAAATCTTTCAAGGTGTTAAAACACACACACACACACACACACACACACACACACCTTAAAAGAGGATTTTATATATATACGATCCTCAGAGACGTGTATAGATTTTTTTCAACCTGATGCTTCTGCTCTGGGAAAAAGCCCTTCCTTTTGGCGCCTGTTCAAACCACCAAACTTCAGGCCAATCCCTCAGCCAGACCGTTCCCCGGATCTTGTTACGCCAGCGCAACACATTCGAGGGCTCTGCGGGGGCCAGCGGCTCAGCAGAAAGCGGCCAAATAAGTAAATAAACTGAAAAACTGGAGGATTTTCGGCCTGGGCTTGCCTAATTAATGGGGATGCACGCTCCTGGGCCACGAGTGTGTTGTCAGTGCTGGAGAGGGTGCGGTAGGAGGCAGCCTCAAAGACTGGAACTCCTTTGGCTGCCGCGGGAGAGGCCGCAGAACAAGCTCACGGCGCGGGGAGACCTCCGCGCACGCCAAGAAGCCGCGGCTGGCGTCTCCGGGCCGTGCAGCGCCCCTGCTCAGTCGTCTGGCGCCTTGTCCAGGAGGAGGCGCTGTAGGACAAGCGTCTCGCGGCTGCAGCCGTGCCGGAGTGGCCCCGGCGGGAGCGGGCCGGGGAAGGTGGGGGAGGGGAAGACACGTGATCCCGCGCCTCCCGGTACCGGCTCTCCACCTCGGCTCTCAAAGTGCGTTCTCCCTCCGAGGCGGGTCGGGGACGCTGCACCCACTCCCAGGGAGAGGCTCCTCGGAACCGGCGAGCTGAGATTGCCTCTAGGCCCCTGGAGCCTGAAGGCCGGTTCCGGGGTGGCAGGCAGGTTACCTCACTTTCTTGGCCTTCCTGGAGGGGGCGTGATTTTCACGCGCTTGGCTCTTGAGAGCAGGAAAGAAATTTGGGTCCCGTGGTAGGGCAAGCCGCGCCCAATCCATGGGGTCCCAAGGAGCTCCCTCATGCTGACTGGGCTCCCGTGCTTTACACTTTACCCTTCCACGACCCCAGGTACCCAGGATGGGCCGCCTTGAAAAGCACAGCGCGGTGCCGCCTCCTGCAGGCTGAGGAGCCTTGCCCTGGTTCACCTAGTCCTAGAGCAAGGCCTGTGTCCTGGGATTCCCCGGGGTCTCCCTTTGAGAGCCAGGGCAAAATTTACTGACTTCTTGGCTTGAGAATTATGCAGATGCCTATCTCTACCCTTTTCTACACCACCCACAGGCCCTTCTCTCACCATTGCTCCCATCTCAGGCCTTTGGTGGGCTCCACAAGGTATTTCTTGTACCAGGGGTGGCTCCCAACTTTAAAAATGGGCTCTAATCCAACTTCATTGTCCCCTGGCGATGCAGTTTTCACCCTCTTTTCCCCATTTTAGGGCAGTGTTGTTAATGAAGGCCTGCATTCAAATCTTGTTTATAATACAAGTCCCTGGGACTCACACCAGATTTCTTATTAAATCATATTATCTGGGGCCTGCATTTTGTAAACACTCTTTCCCCAGGGCAATTA